ATTCAACAGCAGCCTGGGATACACAGCGATACCCTAACTCACGCATGTGCACAAACACACACACACAAACATAAAATGCTCAACTTTGTGTTTCCAGGAAGTGAGTGTACTGATCAAATATTGCTACTACTAACAGTACATTACTAGCTATAAATAATTCACTATTCAGGAATTAAATATATCCCCTCTTATTTCCATTTGCTCTTACTCTAGTCAAGTCAATTTATCACATATTCTGGAGTCTTTTAAATTTATAATGGAGGGAGGTAATGTATGTGGATGTGCACATGCCATAGCCCACATATGGAGGTCAGAGGGCAATTTGTGAGGTCAGTTCTTCACCTTTGACTAACTTCTATGACCAAACTCATGTCATTAAGGCTTTCATGGCAAGTAGGTAAAGAGGGCAAGTGCTTTTAACTGCTGAGCTATCTCACTGGCCCAGCTCTGTTTCACTGGAGTCCAAACAAATGGCATTTCTCTCATCATTTGACAGTTTCAGATGATTTTCCACTTCAAAACCTGGATAACGCCTGGCAGCGCAGGTATGTTATTGTAAAGCCAGGTAAAACAAAAGGAGACTGGTACACATCCTGTTAGTATAGTTAAAATACGCAGCTGCCCAGCTACGATGACTCTTGAGCCATAATGACCAGCATGGCACGATATCCCTAAGGGAGCAGCCGCGGCACACACACTGTGGTGTAACCAACAGCTCTCTGAACTTAAGGCCTGCTCAACATGCCTGGTAATAGAAACCCAGCCAATGACTTGGGGCTAGTGAAGTCATGAATCTTGGAGAACCTAAAACCACCACTTTACTAAACCAGCATGATCCGTAACTCCATTTTAAACACTTATCCTTATACCCACAGGTAAGTGCAGTCCTCACCCCACATCAAGGAAACTTGTCTTCACAACAGAATGGAGGCCATTGTAGAAAATCATAACCGATCAAAATGCAGAGTTGTGGAGCCTAGTCCTTACTGACGTATCTACCACACAACTTCTGCTCCTAAGGCTCAGGGATCACTGCAGAGGGGTGTTGGGGGGGTGTGGCAGAAAGACTGTAAGAGCCAGAGGAACAGTTTGATGTGAGATGCTGTATCCTAGAAATGTCAGAATAGCTATGAAGTCTCACCAACATGGCTGCCTAAAGAGACCTGAACAATGCTAATGTGGAAGGGAGCTCAAGGGACCTCAGTCCTGCACTAAGAACTACAGGCAGCCAAGGAATGGTGAGAGTGGGACCAACAGTCTTCCCCAGGGAAGAGCTCACCAACTGGTTATCCAACACCAAGTGGTCAGCTCTGAAAACATACGTGAGCAATATTAAATGGACTGAACAGGCTGTACTTATGTATTTAGGAATACACACACACACACACACACACACACCAATTGAAAAGAGGCCACGAATATGAAAGAGATCAGGGGATGGAATGTATACAAGGAGTTGTAGACAGGAAAGGGGAGAAATGGTGCAATTATATTATAATCTCAAATAAATAATGAACAGGCTGCCAAGACACCAGGTACAAGCTCTGGAAGGGCAATGCTCATCTAGACTTCTGTGGTGGCTGGGAAGGACAAAGACCAACCAGTGAATAGCAGCAAAGGACAGCATGTTGAGAAGCTAATAGCTGGTATGTCTGTCCTCTAGTTCCAGAATTACCTTTATGCAGGGGTCATTTGGACAGCTCAGCTCCTCCCTACGACCAGCATTCACAACGAATTCACCGTAACCAGGAAGGCAGCCACTCGGGAAGCTGTGCTTTGCTGCTGTTCCAAACTGGGGTGTTCCTCCAGGTGGAAACTGCGTGCCACCGTAAGAATGGAAGGTTTTTGCCAGGCAACTCTGAGAACATTGGGTCTCAGCAGAGGAGATATTGTAATATACCACTGAAGACAAATCGGGCTCTTTAAGAATACATGGCTGGTGCTAAGACAAGAGCCAAGTATTCTGAGAATTATAAAGTGATGTTAGAACAAGGTCAAGATTCTAAGGTACAAGGGTTTTAAATTACCGCCATGGCCTGTAACAGAGTCATGTAACAGGGATGAAGGTACTGCATTCATTACACTGGCTAGTAAAGCAGCAGGTATGATTTGTACTGCTTCTTCAGTTTTGTGCTAACCACACAGAACTGGGCAGAGGTGAACAAATATTTCTTCAGAAATTAGTTAATGAAATAAACCACAGGATGAACCCTCGGTTACTTAAGTCTGACAAATAGTGCACTAAAGGTCAGTAAAGCATTTCCTTTTCCTCTTTCAAGGCAGGTAATTTGGGAAGGCATACTGTCAGCCAGGGATGTATTCAAGGGAAACAAAGCAACAAAATGCAATCAATTGCTTTTCATTTAGAGTAAGTTCTGAAGACCAGTTGCCAAATCATGAGTTATAGTAAATGAACAGACAAGCTCATGTCACGATTTCCCAAATACAGACCTCTGTAAATTAGTCGATTTTTCACCTTCAGACTTTTTCTTTCCCACATCAGCATACAAAAAAGCCAGTGCCCTACAACAACCCCAGGCCAAGTTCTTTGGGCATCCTTGGGAAATGAAAGCACTGTTTCAGCACGCCACTGATCAAGGGGAACGTGCCTTTGTACTCGGTGCCCCAATTGGTATTTGCGGCCACCGCCGGGAACAGCAGCTTTCATTTCTCTCAACACTTGTTCCAAAGCAATGCAGCCAGGTGCCATTCGGAAAGGAAACCTCTCTACCCCTAACAGCTTAAGTCAGTACTTCCCCAAGTGAAAGATGGGGTGCCCTGGGGCATTTCAGAGGCTAAGGTGGGAAACTCAAAGGAGGACTCATTCAAGCTGAGGTGTGTCGTCTACTTCCCCGACGACAACACAGACGCCATTTTAATAGACACCCCTCCCACCCCTACATATTTGGGGACAAGAAAACCTTTGCTAGGTTATGAAATTTTTCACCCTTGAAAGAGCCGAGTCAGACAACTGCCATTCATTCCGTAATGGGGCTGATTTCCCGAGAAAAGGACGCTTGGCTCAGCCACGTCACCACACAACCTTGCTGCTGCTACTGGGTGGAGCTGTTCACAGCTTCAACTCCTCCTCCTACCACATAATAGTAACAAAAACCTCACGTTGGGTGGGGACACATTCATTCTAGAAGAAACTATAGCATATATGCCAACTGAAAAAGTCAAAGTATGTACTGTGAGCGTAAATGTAAGAGGGTGCAGTACTAAAAGATACAGTGAGGTTACACATATGCAGACACTTCAAATCAGACAAAACACTGAACTCTTTCCAAGCCAGATGATGGCTTACGGATGTGCTCCGGGACTTTTATTGCTACTTGAGTTCATGTTTTTAAAATATACAGGTATCCTTAATAACTAAGGATCCAATAATTACTTGAGAACCATCTTGACTTATAGAAAAGAATTAAGTCAGTTGACCAATTAATCATATCTGATTTTTTTTTCCCTCAGTGCTGGAGACCAAGCCCAAGGCCTCACACAAAGTAGGTAAGTGCCCTACCACTGAGCTACACTCCCAGGCTGGGATGAATGTTTACCCAAACAGAGGGGATTTGCATTCGGACTGTGGTTGGCACACTCTGATAAACAGTGCACATAATTGTTCATAACACTGTAAGCTCAGTGTTTCCTCCACAATACAGATAGAGAGACGAAGACTGAGAGGGGACTTTGGCTAGTGATGCAGGGAATTGGGCGCTAAAGCCAGAGTTGAAAGCTCAACTCCACGATTCACACTCTGTCCTAGGAAACAGATTTGATTCCGGAGCAGTGAAGTTCAGACCGTCGAGGCTTGAGGATCAGCTCTATGATACTGACTGAACTAACAAAGCCAAAAGTCACAGCTAAAGCACCTTTGTGTCAACATTCCACAACTGCTTTTGAAGTACGCTGAGAGGAAACTACCTACATCACTCAGCAGAATTAAAGGTGAAATGACTTTCAGTGAGGAAGGTAGCTGGGCCACGCTCGGCAACCTGACTCAATCCCCAGAACTCATACGGTGGAAGAACTGACTTCCACAAGCTGTCCAGTAGCCTCTCCTGTGTGCCACGGAACCCACACACTGAAAAGTAAATGCACGGTACGCGCCTTTAATCCCAGCACTTGGGAGGCAGAGACAGGCAGATCTGAGTTCGAGGCCAGCCTGGTCTGCAGAGCGAGTTCTAGGACAGGCTCCAAAGCTACACAGAGAAATCCTATAAATGTGGGCTCTAAAAGCATCCTCAAAAGCTCCAGACACTGAAGGTGGAGGCAGGAAGCACTTCCTCCATAGGTTTAAGGCCCCTTCGCTTTGAGCTAAACAAGCACGAAGGGCCTCACAGCAGAGGGCACCTTCAACCAGACCTTGCAAAGTTTATTATTAAGACCTGAAAGAACAATCCAGAAAGAACAGAAGAAGCTTAGAGATTACTGTGAAAGAAATAGCCCAGCTCTGGGTGTAGCAGGCTCCGGCACTTCTTGCCAATAGTAAAAGGTAAACGATCAGTTACAGGTATAAACAAAAGCCAAGTGGATATGCCAAGTCAAAGGAATGGGGGGGGGACACTAAATTGGAAAATATGTAAGCAGGCACCCCCATTAAATCTCTGTATATACGTGCATATTTTACGATGCTTCCATAGCAGGAGGTTCCATGGCTTTTTCAGACCAGGCATGGTGGCTATACCTTTAGTCCCAACCCTCAAGGGCAGTCCTGCCTCAGTCCTTAAGTCAAAGCCTTATGTCCCAGGGGACAGAGGATGAGCAGCAAACACCTTTCCATTTCTGGAGTGAGACTCAGTAGCACAGGCTGCTGCCCCAGCAGTTTATCTCACCTACCTACTAAGATTCCTATCGAAGAGCAGCCCCACCCCGTTCTCCTGAGAATACTTTAGTCAACCTCATCCCTCCTGACAGCTGAAGACTTCAAAAGCATGCTTTCCGTGACTACTAATGGACTACTATGAGAATGGGAAACATGAGACTCCAAGACAGCACCATACAAGTGTTACTGGTTTTTAATTTTGAAAGACATTGAACAGTTTCTGAAAATTGCAAGTGACAATGTATTTATTGTAAAATCATGTCAAGACATCATAACCAGCACTAAATTTAGGTGATACACATATATATGCACCCACCAGATACCCCACATACAAAAAGAGCAAATTTGACCAAACTTTAGTCTGTCATGCCATTATGCTGACTTGCACTCTGCTAAAACACAAGAAAGCCATCACTCTAGGAGACACAGGATTTAGGAAAAGGACTGAATGTGTAACATTCACCCAAAAGACCCTGAGAACAGTCGCAGTCAGCAGAAAGACAGAGTGAAGAAACATTTACAGTATCGGTAAGAAAACCCATTGAAAATGCCAATGTTGGATTGGAGAGATGGCTCAGAGGTTAAGAGCACTGGCTGCTCTTCCAAAGGACCCAGAGTTCAATTCCCAGCACCTACATGGAGGGTCACAACTATTTCTAGTTCTAGTTCCGGGGATCTGATGCCCCCTTCTGGCTTCCCAGTGTACTGCACACTGTTGGTACACAGATACTCATGGCCAACAAAACACCCAAACACATAAAATAAAAATAAAGACAATCTCAAAAAGAAAAGGGCAAGGTAAACTGGAAGTAAAGGGAAATTGGAGGTAAAAGGAGCTGTAATACTAAACAGGCAAACTGAGAAGGCGAGCTGGGCAAGTAGTATGCAGGGGAGGCAGACAGACATACATTTTGTTTTAAGGGACAGAAGGACAGCTAAAAGAAACCATAAGAAGCTTTCTTATAACACATCAAACACAAGTCCAGAACATGGCTTTAATTTGGTCATCTTTAACACAATGTGTGGAATGTAGGCTCTGCTCTCAACCAGGTGGTTATGACTTTAAAAAGCACATAACCACACCATAGGACCAATGCCACCGGTCAGCTCCTGGACTTCACTCCAATGTAGCAGCTGATGGCTAAGTCCAGAAGGGCCTGCCATTTGGTCCTCCGTCTGCAGAGGATGCTACTGTGAACACAGGGATGCATGAGCGCTGCAGCACTGGCATTGCTAGCAGTGGTGCCAGACATGCCCAGAGGCTGCCAGCCTGTGCCCATCCTGAGGGAAGCTGTAGAGATGGCTCACAGGCCTCACCGATCCGCCAAAGGAACATGGGCAAAATGGCTGACTGAGCTCAAGTGGATTCCTTTATCCAGAGCTGGATCCCCAGTGTTCAAGAGCAGGCATGAATAAATGAGGCAGTGTACATTTAAAGACAAATGTTACCCACAACGTGACCTTGATGCAGAGCACTTTGCCTAAGAGAAGTCTTGTTATGCAGTAAATGACAATAATTACCAAAATCTTTAAAAACACCCAACCTTTAAAAGTTCCAAACTCTGATTTATTAGACAGCAGAAAAATATGAACAGTTTTAGATTGTGCTACAAAGAACTGAAACACTAACAGCAACAGGGCTTGCTTAGGGACAGGAGAACTCGACTACTGTACAAGGGCATGAAGCCTCCCCACCCCACACAATTACGGAAGACACAGAGACGGTTCTGTTGACAGGAAACAGAGAAATCCACATACTAGACCGAGTGTCCAATGACTAGACGCAGCCCTCGGGGGGGAAGCAAGTGTTTCTACGAGGCAAAGCTTTCTGCAGAGAGACAACTTTCACCAGCTGATTACGTGGACCTGTAACCAAGAAGACACAGTTCAAAGGACCCACTAAGACTTCACACTAAGTTCTCACTGACAATCTTACAAAATAAAAATAAGACTTTTCTCTGTCCCCAAAGAATTTTTAAAAAAATACACTCTGGGTAAAATAAACTCCAGTAAAGGTCTAAGTCCTACTCAGAGATGCACATTTACAAATAATACACAGGAGAACAAGAAGTCTGGCAACAGAAACACTGGAACTACTTAAGACAGGCCAAGCTAAGTTCGTGTTCTGCTACAAGACATTACATCAAAATGAATCTCATTCTCACTGTAATTTTTTCTTTTTAACCTTTAATCACCAGCGCTGGGCAACTGAAATGGACATGAGAACTATATAAATGTCAGGGAAATATGTAAACCTCATTAATGTTTCCAAAAATTCATTTAGCGATAGAAACAGGTCCAGATAGATGCCTGTCTAAATGTACTGCAATTACGTTACAGTGACTTTCCCAAATGCACAGCTATGTTCTGTCTTCTCTCAGCTCATTACTGACTCAAACAATTTGCCCTTCTGGGATCAATTGTTTGCTAATAAATAATTGTTTACAGTCACAAAATGATGTTAGGAGGTTTTCTTATTAGTTTTCCTCCTGCACCCTAATAAGATTGAAAACTAGCTGAGTCCCAAGAGTCTAACCTTAACCTCGCTTTGTTTAACAGCCCAGGAAATGATGAACCATCTGCTTCAGAAAATAATGGACGGCCAAGAGGAAATACTGTCTAATTGTAGATTAACCTCCTCATGAGGCAGTCTGAAGCAGCTTTCGAATTACCAACTATCACCAGCAAAGAAATCAATGGCTCGAGAGCCTTTTCCTCTACCATTTAAAGTCCAGAAAGAACACAAAGGGATTTTTATTACTTCTATTTACAAACATTTATTTCCACAATAGAAACAAAAATCAAGGTCAAAACCGCTTCTCAAAAAGTGCAGTCATTGCCCTCAAATCCTGTTTGGCCAAATACCTTTAATGTAGCAAACCATCAAACCATCTCGTGCACTTAAGTTTTCATCAAAAGAGAAAAAATAAACAATAAAAACCTCCTTTCCTTTATTTTCAGGTTCTTAAAAAATTAAAATTAGTATCTCCCTGGTTTCTCTGTTAATAGTTATAAGTCCCCTACTGAGGAGGACCAAATGTTTTACTATTATCAACGTGGCACTTAAGTGAATGAAATCAAGGACATGGTGACCTACAAGTTCAAAAGAAAAAAGAACAGCATGAGATCAAAATGGCCGGCCAGGACAAAAAATATCAAAGTGACAGATTAAATGCAAACATGACCCTTTATCCAATAGGCTCCACAGTCTAAAACTTCTCTACAGTCCAACCTGTAAAAGCACACACATTACTCCCTGTAAACGCTCTGCTCCTACAGAGAGGGGCCCACAGATTTAGCAAGGGCACTTAAGAAAATCACACAAGTCCAATACACATTTACTTATCACAAATATTCCCTTAGGATTTCCTTCGAGGACCCGAGAACAGGGACAAGGACATGGGGCAGGCACTACATGGTATACTGTGTGCCTAAGCCTCTGTGTTCTCAGAGTCTAGAAGAGGTCACTAAATAAAAGACTTGGTACTGCTGTTGCCAAAACAGCAAAACAGATGGCCCCTTTCAGTCAAGAGTTAGGACCTACAGCTAGCAACATCAGTGAAAATTTCAAAAGTAAGGAAATCTGCTATGCTAGGCAAGGCCATATTACTCTAGGTCTCCAAGAAGACCCAAGGGTCATTTACTTCTGTAAATATTACAGAAATAATCTCTGGAGAGGGAAGATTTTTTTGGGGGGGGCAGTTCAAATTCTTAAATATCTTAAATAGAATTTACTAAAATATATTATTCTTGAATTCCTCAACTTAATTTTTAAAGCAATGAGCTAGTAGTAACTCCAGAGATTCAAATAATAGAGCCTATTCAAGAAGAATGAGAGTTTGACATTCTTCCCTACAAAACAACTAGGCACAATTTTATCCATCAGACGTCTATCAACCTACGGATATTGAAAGCTTGGGAGAACAAGATAAAATCAACTCCAACCCTAGAGTCAGCTGTAATATCGAGCAGGCATCAACAATGCTATTCATGAATGGAGAAAAATTAATAAGTCCTGGGCTGAATGCAAGAAAAGGCTTCAATCCAGGTGAAGCATACTCACTTGGGCTTTGTTTCTGCATCTGTCACTTGGCGAATGAAGATACCATCTTCAGGGTGCTCCGTGTCGTCCATTTCATACATATATGACGACGCTATTGCGAGCGTAGTTCCGTCATTACTGAAGGCAAGAGACGCAATGCTAGTAGGGTAGCGGTGGAACTGGCAGAGTCGCTTTTTGTTAAACGGGTCCCAAATATTTACAAATCCATCAGAACCACCTGCAAGTAATGTAATCTGTTAAAACGGCTCTTTGTACCAAAGCAAACAGAAACTATTAGGATTCTGCCTGAGCATAAGCAGGCCACAGTCTTAAAACTCAGCTCAGGCCTGCGTGTCATACTTCACCTGTGGCAAACGTATTGTGGATATTGTGAAAGGAAATGGCGTTGACTGGGTAAATCTGCTCAATGTTGTTTTCTTTTAGCCTGTGACACTTGAAAGCGTACTTCTTCTTCTGAACCTCGGGGCTTGGGTCCAAGTATTCCACCGCCACTCGGCCTTCAATGGAGCTCAACACATAACCCTGCCGAGAGAGCAGAGGCCCCAAATGGCAAAACCCGCCTTCCAGAGAGCACACGAGGTCCCCAATTCCATCCATAAAGACGACTATTTCAGAAATGAAAGTTCAGCCAGGTTTAATAAAGGATTGGAACTGTGCAGACAGTCATGACATCTCTACAAATATCTAAGAACATCAACACATGCTTTCTAAGAAATGGGGCCACCCTTGCCTGCTTTCTCCACACTATCAGTACCTAGCACACTGCAACCAAAAAGGACTCATTTTGTGTACGTCATCTAAACAAATCTGAACTAAACCTAAACAAAAAATTTTAAGTTTTAGTATCCTTTGTCTCCTGCCCTGAAGGGGACCCCAATCTGTTGCCTCAGTTAAAACCTCCTCTCCACCTTTAACTCCTTAAGCACTGTGCCCCTCATCAGGAGGGTGGACCAGCAGTCGAGTCCCAGCTCAGCTGGCCTGCCTCTGCATCTACTACAGTGAGTCAAGTGTGCACAGACCAGACCGTGAGCAACTGTGGAGAGTGCTTCCCAGTTTCAAACCTTCTTCATCCTCACTTGAAGTAACATATTTTTAAAAAGATAATGCAATGATTATGAAATTTGTGCTTTTTACATCTTTACATTTTGGTCAAAACGTTAAAAAACAGGTTATTTCCAAAAATTGCTCACAGAAAATGAATTCAACACAATCCAATTTTTATTGTCTTATTATTTATTTTATGTGCATGCATGTATGTGTGCAGAGGCACTTGGGAGAGGAGGTCAGGGGGCAACTCGCAGCAGTTGGCTCTCTCCTTGCACCACGTGGGTCCCAGGGACCGAACTCAGGGCATCAGTCTTGGCGGCAAGTACCTTTGCCCACTGAGCCACCTCCATTTTTTTTTTTTTTTTTTTTGTTAAATAAAATCCTACTTTAAGCATCCATCATAAAAGCAAAGATAATCCTACAGAAAAATTCAAATATAAAGACACAAAACTAGTTTTTGTAATGCAAGCATGCTTTAATCACATTAACCTATCTAAGTTTCATTAACTGCAGCTAATTGCCTTTAATACTTATCCTTTCTTTAAAAGAACTATGATCACCACTTGAGGCTCATGGAGAGACAAAGGGCCAAGAGAACTGACTTCCTTTTCCATATTCCACAGCAGCTAAAGGACAGCCCTGACTCCAGATGCATTTACTGCTTTAAGTGAAGTTTCCTCTTAAAAAAAAAAATTCCTACAGCAGCTCACCTCACAACCAACTGCCCTTATACTTTTTGGCCCATGATGGCCTTGAACTTACAATCTTCCTGCTTCAGTACTGCTAATGAAAGGAACCCACTCAGTACATCATAAGATAGTCATCATATGAGACACTACCTGATCTCAGCAGCATTCTTATAAAAATAAAGAAAAAGAAAATAACAAAGCCCTATTGTTAAGTGAGAGAGACCACTCTGTTAACATTAGGATTAAAAAACACAAAGGCAGGCATCCTGTAATACATAGCTGCAATCCCAGCATTGAAGAAGCTGAGGCTAAGGGAGTATAAAAATGAGACCAACCTAGGGTACATTTTAAAAAAAAGCAAATTCTATAAGCCTAGATTTCCAAATTTAAGCTTTGATTGACTTATAAATTGAAATATGTTAAGCTCTTTGATACTGCATACTTATTAAGCATCCCATAGCCAAACCAGCAGTAAGACATCTATCCAAAGCACCTGACCTCTGGAACATCAACATCTTCCCTAAAATGTGGGGTTAAGTTAGTCCCCTTTAACATGTAGCTGTCTTTAAAGGATTACAGAGAGCAGACCTAAGGCAGATTTTAAGTCACCACTACTTAGAAATTCCAGAAACAGGAGGGTATGGGGACCAGTACCTGCTTGTTTGGGAAGGCACGGATGCAGCGAGTCTGGTACTTCAGGCTGGATTCCCTGCGCTGCTGCACATAGCCCATATTCCTCAAGTCCCACACCAGCACTCGGCGGCCTGCTGTACCCACAATCAGTCTGTCCCCGGACACTGACAGGGTGTACACCTTTTAGGAAACATCAAAACTCGATAGTCATCAGCTACTTCCTGAAAAATAACATTTTGCTCCCAAAGTCCATCTAATCCTAATACCATAAAAAAAGCTAGCTGAATGGGTTCCCAGAGCAGGTATCCACTTTAGACATAAGTGAGGTGACTTAGATTAACTTAGCACACCCAGTACATCACTAAGTATGAAGTACACTCCAACAAAGCTTGAAGACACTCTTAAAGACACAACACTATTATGACATTTCCCCCAAAATTTCTTGCCTCATTTACAATAAAAGTATTAAAACCCACTCAAAACAGGACAATGAAGTCAAAACGCCTTTGAGAGAGCTTCTGGCTTTTGTAAAAGAATCATTTTCATTTTTTTCTATGACCAGACCAGCTTTTTAAAGATTTCATTTGGCAACTCTAAAACTCTTGGCATCTCCCAGCTGTTCCCTGAGGGAAAAGGCCTGTCTAGGAAGAGTGGAGAAAGACAGCCTGTTAAGGCTGTCTCGAGGCTTTGCAGGTACAAATGCAGAATGAAAAGATAAGGCTAGCTGCACATAGTAAAGCTAATCCTTGGGCTCTGATGTCATCACGTTCAAAGAAGAAAGCTCAGCTTAAGAGGATGAAAAAAAACTTAAAGCATTTTATCCCCTGAAAGTATTTTTCTCCCTCATAATGTTTTCTTTTCAATATTTAAACTCCCACAAAAATACCTCTATATGAAACCATAAATTTCTTGCAAGCATAACATTTAGGGGCTTACTTACAGATAAGATGTTACGTAGACACCAGAAGGAGCAAATTCATGAAAGAGCAGCAAGTATCTTCCTAACCAGTCATTTCCTTAAAAATCTAGCTCTCAGGTCTATAACAGAGCTTATTGCTGACTTTCAGCCTCCACAGAATTGCTATTAAAAAATGTGGAGGAACCATGATATAAGACTTCCTTTTAACCCTCAATAACTAAGCCATACAGCTGATAATCACCAGTACGTTAACGACAGACCACCAGCCAAAAGACCAGGTCAGGTTATGATACAATGTCCAAACAGCAGCCACTATAATCTGACTTTAAAATTTAACAACTAGTGCAACTGAAGGAAAAATAAGAACTTAGAAAACTGAAATACTAAGTGACTGTATATTTAAATGAGAATATTAGAATATGTTTATTCAGAAAGTCAGTATTTTCTAAAGAAGAAAATTAATCTACAATATCTTAAGTGCTGAACGTAAAAACAAAAACCAGAAAGAGCTCAATCTACAGTGGTACAATTGTATCAGGAATTTACCTTCAATCTTTACTACACAGGTGACACCCAAGCTTTTAAAACTGCTTTTTGCCCCACTGATCATAAATCAAGGAAAACCATTGTCATGCTACTGACTAGGTATATACATTTATCAGAGAAAGTATTAAAAAAAAAGTGACATAATGAACCTCGCTGAACCAATAAGCAGCTTGATTCAGTGTGGCTGTCCATTATACAATATTCTGTCAGCAATTTATCACCGCTCTTAACATGTTACATACAACCATAAATCAAAACTAGAAACAATGCAATTATTTTATTCTGAACAAAGGTCTTGCCAGGAGTAGGTTCGACTGTGACGTGACAAAAAGAATAGCTCTTTGGATACACTGCTGTATATAATGACGGCTAACAGGGCCGGACGGTATATTTACACTAAGGAAATTGACACAAGTGAAGAATAGCTTTAAACGGCTAAAACAATCCATCTTTTAAATTAACTACCACCTGATAAAAGTCTGATGAGATTACAGCTTAAGTATGTTTACCACACAGATCAAGAAGTTAGAAGACACAAAGTTGGTTTGAAAAAGCTCCATTCACAGTTGGAGAATTAGTTTTCTCCAGGGACAGGACACCACAGGCTATCTAAGTGGTGAGCCATAAACATGTATAAACAAACAACACTGAATGGATTCAGTAGTGTGTGTGTTCATGTGTTCCCATGTGTGCATGTGTATAAAGTAATAATAATTATAGAAGAGGCCATGAACCTGAGAGTTAGTGGAGGGAGGTGGAGAGGGAAGATGAAGGGTAGAAAAGATGTAAATAAAGTGTACTCAAGTATGATATTCTCAACAATAAAAAGGGAACCATAGATACAAATGGTTTTAGAATCTAAAGGTAGAGATTACCAAACTGGATTGAAATAACAAAACAACAACAAAACGACCCAACTATGATACTGTCTGTGGGAAATATGATTTAGATTCAAAGTGTTTATTTACTACAAGCCTTCAAATTACATCTGCCAGCATTGAAATACACACATAGCAATAAACCAGAGAACACATCTCTCTCGCTGAAGTTGAAATGATCATCCTTCTCATTCTCAACTGTCAATTCAAATGGGACCTCAAGTCACAATTGAAAATGAGTGACGCTTCATCCCATTTTCTGGTTTGGGATGTCAAGCCAAGTTTAGGAAGATCAGTCTCTGTTAATGGCTTCTCTGAAAAGGTAGCTCTCAGACCTCAGATCTAAAGCTTAACAATAACATGGAGCAAGAATTTAAACTGTGCTCTCTAGCCCAAGTTTAACAACTGACAAAAAAAGATGACCAAAATTTAAAAGTTAATTCCCTTCACATTAAAGCATTTCCATGTAGTTAGGTTTCTAAAACAGACTGCCAGTTCTTAACCTATTCAACAGCATATTCATCAAACACACACCAAAACAAATGACCCCAATGAGCACAGCACCCCGGCTGAACATAAAAACCCTACCTTTTCCGGCTGAGAGAAGGTCCCAGCATTACAAGGAGTTCTGGGATCCCACAGTTTAACTGTCTGATCCCAACTTCCAGTAACCATCACATTCACTTCCGGACAGTATTCCACACATCTGATAGGGGCATCATGGGTTCCGACGAGATTTTCTATTGCAAAGAAAAATAAAATAAATAAAATAGCTTTACTGTCTCAACTAACTAGTATACCCCAAATGAACTAAGGGGACATCCAACTAAAATGAATTTGTCTCAGTCAACTCCACAGAGATGTCTGCACGCGGAACAATCTCTCCACGACTACAAGTTACCCATGCCTCTCTAATTTACTTCTTCCCACTGCGTAGGTTAATTCTACAACAAGACTAGAGCACAGCTGCCTTGAATCTCCAAATGTGTTAAGATGGTGCATGCTTATCAAGTTGATCCTAAATTTTATAAGAAAACTGTTTTACCTCTCTCTGCTTTTGTATCTAGTACAAGATTCGGTACATTGTAGGTGCTCAGGAAATATTTGTTGAATGAAGAAATGAGTGGAGATCTCAGGTTTCCTGTACCCTGACAGCACTCTTCACATTAAGCCAATGCTAGTAAGAAATGGTTACAGGATTTGGAATCTGAGGGGAGTCTTTCAGGTAATTCACTTTGTTCTCATGGTAAGGTCAAATTTCTACTACATAATTTCTTTCCTGTCCAGTTCAACATTCACAATATCTCATTTGTTCACCCAGTTAACATCTAATAAATATCTACTAGGTGCCAGAGCCCATGTGACAGAAAGACACAGGGACAAATAAAGGCCTGGGGATGTAGCTCAGGCGGAGTGCTTGCTTGCCTAGCATGTACATAATATACACAAAAGGGCACTTTCACACAAAGGCCTCTTCCAATGAACACTGCTCTTTTCCTCCTTGAAACAGCCTCATGTAGCCTAGGCTGGCCTCAAACCGGCTATGTAGCTGAGGTTGACCTTCAATATCTGATCCCCCTGCCTCCCCCTTCCCAGTGCTGGGATTACAACAACACCACCAAACTCAGCTCGGTACTTCTCTATCCATCCTCCCATTATTCAACATAGCCTCTAGGTAGTTACATCACTACGCCCTGCCATCTCCTTCAAGTATACCTGCATCCAGTACAGGGCACGCTAACAAAGCTCAGAGAGCTCTGTACACCTGAGTTCCATTCCAATTTCTGCCTCACTGAAATCATGAAAACTCTAAGAAATGTTTTTACACACGCAACTGAAATACATTCTGCTAAGACTACAAAAGCTTCGCTAAGCTAAACGTGACTGGCTTTGTGCTGCATTTTTAAAACACACTTTTCTTTAGTTTATGAAGAGACTACCCTAAAATATCACACAGTCCTAGGAAATCCTGACAAATCAGAGGCCATGGATCCAGTCCCCTTTTAAGGACTTCTGAAGGTAGTGCTCAAATGCTTACGTGACACTTCTGGTAGGCACTTAAGACCGTGCTCAGAATGGCTCTACTGCCAAACACACACTCCATTTGTGGGAACTTCATTCCAATTATAAAAGCCTGTTATCAAAGCCACTTTTCACCTTCACCTAAGCATCGAAACCAGCTACTCATCCTAGGTAAGCATTTCTACACTAATACACTAGCAAAGAAACACTGGTAAAATGTGGCCATATTACCTTGATCAGTGTTCAAATCATGCATTTTCAGTTGGTGATCTAATCCTCCACTCCAGGCATGCGTTGGATCCTACAAAGTAAAGTTTTGTTTTGTTTTGTTTGAGACAGGAACTCATTACGTAGGACAGGCCTGCCTCTGGGATTCAAGGCTTGGCCACCACGCCCAGCCAGCCCCTTAAGCTTTAAACTATTTCAAAGTCATAAAGCTTTAGCAAGCATTTCAGATTTACTAAATTTCTACAGCCAAGTGTTTGGGTTATGTCCAGTGTGACAGGCACTAAGAAGTAAACAAAAAATGCAAGTAACTGATCGCCAAAACGAATAAAGAGCAGTTTTATCTCGATTGCCACCAGCAGCCAACTAGAGGATAGTCACTCCTTTCAACCACTCCTTTTCATAAGGTAGCTAAATTAGTATTGCTGAGATTTTCAAATACAATGATCTTACGTCCAGAAAGTTTACCCAAGTCTGAACTTGAAAGGGGGGAGACTGAAACTGCGATGGAAGGAGAAATAAAAACAAACAAGCCACGGAACTGTCCGAATTCTCCAAACCGTGTATGGAATGCTACTGGCTGTGGCTGCATTCCTGCCTACACTAACTCAGTAAGGGGGCAGGAGCAGAAACTGAGAACACCTACGTAGAAGGCGCAGTCCAGGACAGCACCAGTGTGCTGGTACTTGAGTCGCATGGAGTTGGCGGGCACATCGTAGAGGCGCACAGATGTATCCCAGGAGGAGACCAGGAGGAATTGGGAGGTGTTGGGGCTGAACTTGACCGAGGAGATGCCATCCTCGGGTGGCTGGTTCAGCTTGAACTCGTTCGAACCGGTCATCTGCGGAACAAATGCTAAGTCTGAGTCCCTTACCACCGGAGCAACAGAGGCCGGCCTGGGTCTGCGCCTGCGCAGTGCCCGGATCGGCCTTACACTAGACTAGCCGCCATCCAGCTCCCGCCGAGCTCTACCCGGCCCGGCTCCTTCCCTGCCCGCGGATCCCCAAGTAATACATAATGAACGCCAACCGGATACCCCTATGCACCGACCCACTGGCTGCAGGCCGCGAACCCCGCTCCACCCGCCCTAGCCTGAACCTCTACCTCGTGTTCTCCCAAGCAACGTTTCCGAACCGGCCACCAACAACCCGCTTCTCTCCGAGCACTCCCAGGCTAGCGGAGGAGGCGGAGAGAAAGCCCCGGAGCAAGCCTATCATTGGTTGATTTCGAACGCCAACGGTTCGATCTCGGCCGCTAATTGGTTCGATCTGCTGCTCGAGTCATTGCCATAGTCATCCTGTTCCGGCTCAAAGGGAAACCGCGGTTTTTTTCCGTTCACGGGATCTCAGTACCACCACGCAGAGGTTACGTCGCGAAGCTGCGCAGGGAAACTACAACTCCCAAGTATGCTCAGGGTAAGGAGCCACTCAGGCCCGCCCACATTTATACTCTGCATGCTGGGAGATGTAGTCTTCCTGGGGCTGTCTGCCTCACCATCTACATGCACAGAGTAGGAGTCAGGAAAGATGTTTTTATCTAGCTCTGGTTGTGACACACTTCTCCTCTGTCTCTCAGACACAGAATCCCGTTTTGGTTGGTACTGCTATAGAGATAAATTAATATTTTATTTCTGGGCGTACACATACCCCTGGAATTAACGCAAATTAGACATACTGAAGAAAATAGGTTCTAGTCAAATGCACTATTTGCCTTCATTTTGCTGGGGTTTCCCTCTGTGAAGTACAGTCTCGTTTCCCTTGAGTTCTAGTGATCTCATAGGAACTAGCCCATGTTTCTATAGTTGTTTTTTTTTTTTTAATCTCTCAACATTTATCAAGCACCTGAATGCCAGGCCTGGCAAGAGACTCTGGGGATACAAATTCAACCAAACTACTCCTTGTTTTACAAGAGTACCGCATCCCAAAAGGTAAACAGAGTAGGACAGGGAGACTTCCAATGTTTTAAAGCTTAAGCAGATGCTTTTAGGGATGTTCATTGTAGGTCCTAAGAATCCCCTTCTACCCCACCATACCATGGGAGCTGCAGGCTCAGTTTGCTGTATTTTCTGTTTCTAAAATCCTCCAAAAATAAGAGCCAAGGAAGAAACTGTTTTGGTTCTGTGAAAGAAAAGCAGTACTTGACAAACAGAATATAGTGGCTGGCATACTGACATGCAAAATGTTACTGAGAGTTTCTAGCTAATCCTTGCTACAATTTCTTTTTCACTGCCCTCTCAGTTCTGAGACAGTCTTTTTTATTTTGTAATTTTGCGTGAAGTAGAAAGTTGTTGCTAGGATTAAGCGATTTAAATTTCAAGGCACATTAATAATGACAAATTGATCTTTAGGTATGCACACACTCTGAAGTAAATGTACTTAAGATTCCTGACAATAAACACACACACACACACACACACACACACACACACACACACACACACATACACACATGCACACACACACACGCACACACACATACACACACACAGCCTTTCTCCTATTGCCCTGAAGATGATTATTACGGCTAAAATATTCTGGACTTCTTCACTCTTCAGATAGTTCTAATGTTTGGTCCTCTCTCCCTCTTCTCTTTCAAAAAAATCAATGGCCAAGTTCAATTTTTTTTTAAATGCAGTGAGTTGTTTTGCATTCTAACTTTAGCAAAATAATTTTCCCTCTTGACTTATTTGAGTCTCTTTCCCAGTTGTTTATTTAATTCTATTAGTGTTTCCAGATTCTGAGCATAAATTACCTGCTAATAAAATCTAAGCGTATTTCATTATCTAGTGTGTGTATGATTCAGGTCCCTCTGGCCATGCAGTTGCAGCCCAACTCTATTTGAGTTTTAAGAAACGTCAATCTTTTAAATCAAGTTTAGAGCCTGAAAGGAGATGGACTATTTTGATGATTATTCAAATGAATTGACAGACTTGAGATAGGAAATCTGGCAACAGTAGAGTCTTGAACATTCACAACCCAAATGCAAAGCGTGTGTGTGTGATATTCAGTCACCTGTTGGAAAAACTCCTAGAAACTAGTTGCAGTGTTGGGTCACTTGTCACAGCTAATGTCTGGGTGAGTGAAGAAAGTCAACTATGTACATATGAAGCTGGGAAAATGGTCATTCCCAAAAATATGAAGGGCAAACTCAACGCATTATGTGCTGACAATGACTAGAGGAAGTCACTACCTACAGAGAACACCAGCCTAAAGAGAATATGGTGACCCATACTGTTAAGTCCATCAGCAAATTGTAATCTACCAAAATGCAGACCAAAATAACCTGAATGGAATATTCTTTTTACAAGATGTTCCTCTGAAGTAATTTGGTTGTTTCTGTGCAGAATGTTCAAAGAATGCTGTCAGGGAAAGAATGCAAAGAGATTAGCGTGACAACTTTAGTGAGATAAAATACACACATTCAATAAATAAGAAGAGAACTGATGTTCTCTCTCTGACCACCCCAAATGTAGTGTAGATTCTCAGCATGTGTTAGGGCCTCAACAAATATTTTTGGACACGAACACAGCTAAAATGAAATAAATGCAAGTGAACCAACCTAGTATTGGCAGGTGCATTCTTGAGTGGCATCCATCTGACGTCACCTTGGAGTAGTTGCGGGTTTTACGAAATGTAATGTAATAAGAAAATGGGCAGTATCAGAGCAAATCTCTTCGACCAGGCACTTTACACGGAGTGGTATGGATCATGTAAACATTTGCATTCTGTGTATTTCTACAAAATGCAAGTCATTTCGATTCCTCTTGGCGCAGAGACAGGTCAGTCAGGCAAACGTTTTCTTCTGAAGAAAGAAATAGGGCCTTGTCGCTGCCGATTCCTAGCTCCTTGCACCGGGTCAACCACCGAGAGGAGGCAGGCAGGCGGACCTAGAAACTCCACCTGAGGCCTCCTCCAAGGTCTTGCATCCATTTCTGACGTTTAACAAGGAACAGGTGGCTGCTATCAAAACGGAGAGAAAGAGAACGGGCCGCGATTTGCATAATTCTGGTGCTGCTGTTCTCTGGGTGCAACGCCTCCCCTTCTCCTGCGTGGAGGCAGGTTGTCAGGGCACCGCAATCGGTTGACGCCTCCACTGCACCTCAGGGTTCAAGACAGAAACAACCGCGGCGTGCTGGCCGCTGATTCGACCATTCAGACGCTCACACACAAATTTAACATCTACAGAAAGTGTAGGGAAGCTCCTGTACCACCTGCTCCACGAATCCCTCCATCGAAATGTGACCTTTAGGATCCCTGTCTCCCCACCCACCCACCCCCACCCCCCGCTCCGCGCAGAACACGCAACTTTGTCACCAGCCGAAGAACTGTGCGTGGCTGCAAGCGGGTCGCGTGGGGCTTTGGACCCCAAGCGGACGCTTTCTCACATACTACGTCTTACTCTGCAAAGGAGGACGCCAAGCGCACCGGCTCCTCTTCGACCATTCATGGCGGGCCCAGCTTCAGTCTAGCTCAAAACGATCCCAGCGCCAGGGAGATGTTCACCTTCTTGCCCGACTTATTCCCAGAGGCAACCCCGTCAGAAGCCAGGCCTGCCTCTCCGCCTTTGTCTTTCTCGGTGAGGGCTCGGGATCTCGATTCCATCCTGGAGTGCACCCCAAACCGCACACCTGGGTCGTGGGAACTGTGCTGTTCCAGAAAGCAGCTCCAGTCACGTGCTGCCTGGGCAGCCCCAATATCCCGACCTTTAACCTCTGAGCCCAACCCCACCACCCTCCCGTAAAGAGAGCGGGACCTTGGTGGACAAGGGGGTGGGGGGTGCGGGTACGGGGAGGGGAAAGTTGGGAGGGTGTAAAGAATTTTCATGCTCTGGCACTAAAAATCCAGAAACTACTCTGTGCATTGTGTCGCGGGGCAATTAATCCTTCCAAAGTTAACAACCGTGTTTAAAACGTTTTATTTTTTTTTCTCTTTAAAAATATTTACAGGTCTGTGTTCTCCTCATTTCACCCCTCAAGATGAAGGGAATGAAGAGAGGTGATTAGTTCAATGACCAAGGCCCCAGTGGGCTCGGCTTGGCTGAGCGTGTGTTCTTACACACACACAAAAAAACACATACACACACATATATATATACAGGTGTATATATGGGAGAAAGAGAGTATCCGGTTTTGTTGGTGTTCTGATTTTTTTACTTGCTACCAGCCAAAACCTACCTACCAAAAACTCCCTTTCCCACCACCACCCGAGAATCTCCCCTTTCAAAAGAGTTTTCAAACGCATATTGGTTTGGTTTTTGTGTAGAAAGCAGGTGTTCTGGCTTGAGGAATGCGGATAAATACCCGAAACAAACAAACAAAAAAAAAGTAGAGAAGAGGCCATAAATAAGACATAACGAATACACATGGTGTATTTCTTAATATTTCTGAACACGCGACGCTCTGCTCCGGACCCCTGGGAAGGATGCGGCCCGCGCCCCCGGTATGCAGGCGGCTGCAGGCGGCCTGGGACGCCCCGGGAGCCGGCGAGCGGCTCAGTAGTCAAGCTTGTTGTACAGGTTGTAGAGCGGTAAGGCCGAGAGGTTGCTGCTGGGGTAGTAGAGCGGCGCCGGGAAGGCGAGCGAGCGCGGCACCGGCACCCGCAGCAGTGAGCTGTCCCGAAACACCAGCGGCATGCCCACGAGAGTCTGCGCCGACGCGTGTGCCATGTTGGCCGCCTCCAGCTCGGCCGAGAGCTGCCGCTTCCACTTGTTGCGGCGGTTCTGGAACCAAGTCTTAACCTGGGTCTCGGTGAGCTGCAGGCTGGAGGCGAGGCAGGCGCGCTCCGAGCTGCTCAGGTAGCGTTTCATGTCGAAGGTGGACTCGAGCTGGTACACCTGGCTGCGGGAGAAGACGGTGCGCGTCTTCTTCTTGGCCGCTCCGGCCTGTCGCTCCGCACCGCCGTCCCGCGGCCGTTCCGGGCCCGGAGAGGGCGAGCTCGCCGGCAAGAGCCTCTCTTTCTCTTCCTTAAAGTCCGAGTGAGAAGGAGAAAGGAAAGGCGCGCGCTCGGAACCCGCAGGCCCTGCACTTCCGCTGCCCTTGGGGGTACCTGGAGAGCAAGCACAAACAAAATGACCATGGAGTTGATGTGTCTAGAAGACTCAGCTCTTTCCGGGACAAGGAGGTTGGCCGACGCCTGCGTCCTTGGCCCCCTATTACCAGCCCCTTTCTTTTCTGCCATGTCCTGTTAGCATCCAAAGTCCAGAACATCGGCCTTTCAAAGCAACAGGAGAGGGTCCCATATAATCCGAGTTTGAGGGTCTCCGCTCCTACTCTTATAAAAAAAAAAAGTATAAGTGGTAACAGGTCTGGAGTGGAGACATTAACGCCATTTTTAAAAGGTGATTTTTTTGCCTTATAAGAACTGAGCTTTATAAGTTGGCATCATTTTACAGGCCGTTTCTTTGGAAGTCAGGCTTAAGACTAACTCCTGGGCTCTCTGTCAGCTGTTGTCAAGAGGAAGCCTCTCTGAAAAGCACCACTGTCAATCATTTTAGAGTACTAATCACTTCGAGAAAAGACCCAAAGGAGGGAAAGACCCAAAGAGACTGAAGGACAGACAGAACACCTAGACCGGATCTGAAGAACTCGAGGCAGGAAAGAAAACACCCCGTGTGCGAAAGGATTCTGGCCAGCACCGAGTGTACCGCCCGCAAGAGTTCCTGGCCCACTCCAGTTCACCCTCCTTCCAACACAGTTTTCCCCTGAATGCCCCCCCAATATTTTTCTACATCTCCCCAGCGCCGGCCCTTGTGAGAAGGCACCACTGGTGCGTAGTCCTCCACCCCTTGGCCTGGACCCCCAGCGGCCCCGCTGTGGCCAGAGGATGCCCTGCTCCTGAGTCTCCGACACGCGCACACCGTGTAAGCTCAGGCACACTCCGGGCCAGACTCCCGACGTGCGATCCTTACCCAAGCAAGGGAAAGGGATGGGGGGATGGTGCTTAGGGCTTGGCTCCTTGGGGCCGTGCGGATCTGGGCAGAAGCAAGCCGGCGCTTTCCAGCCTTCGTCCAGCTCCTCCTCCTCCGAGGACACAGACAGGCTGCGTTTCCTGGCTGGCCACCCGGCTGACTCCCGCGGTGCCTCGGAAGGGCCCCCGCCCAGGATGGACTGGATGGTGAAGCTGGAGACGCCGCCGGCCGCCGGACATCCCTTCCCCACATCTTCCTTGCTGCCCATCCTGGGTTCATAAGAAATCGGAGGAAACCAAGAACTCCCTTTAGAGCGGGTCTGGGTGGAAGGTGGTGCGGGCGAGCAGGCGAGGGGGAGGGGCGGGAGGGAAGACAAGGGGAGGGGGCGACGAAGCTGGTGAGGCGTCCCTTCTGCGCCAGGACGCGCAGGCACCGGACCGCTGCGCGCGGGTCCCTGCCGGCCCGGCTCTGGGTGAGCCCGCCCAGCCCCGGTGCCAATGTCCCTTCCTTGCCTGCCAACTCCACGGATCTCGGGCGACGCGGAGGCTGCGCGGCCTCATTTGCATAGAGGTTACTCGACCGCGGCCAATCGCAGCGCCGCCGAGCGGCCCCGGAATTTTTTTAAAAAGCTGGAGCCGAGCACGCAGCACCGGGGAACGCCCGGAGCATTCCTAGTACCGGACCCTCTCTGGGTCTTTCCAGCCCGGGGCGTCTGGGGCCAAAGGCAGCTTAGATTGCAGACTGGATTCCTGATCTCACTCTTACTCGGACTCCTGTCTCTCCAGAGGCAGGGACAGCGCGGGGCTCTGGTGGGGCTCTCTCGCACCCGAGATGCTCCCCATAGACTGCTGCCAACCTCCCGAGCCCTCAACCCCTTCCAGCCTCGGAGAAACAAGCAAAGAGCTATGAGTCTCCTGCCGCGTTAGGGTAGGGAAGATTAACAGTATGAGGCTCAGAGAGATGCCCTTCTCTGGGTAGTGGCTGGGAGACACGGGAGCAAAGAATGTCTACAGTTCTCCATCTGCAGACCCCACTGGCTAAAGGGGCCAGAGGATTTTGGAAACGGACCTAGATCTTCTGAGGTCCCAGTTCACATTCCAGCACCATCATTTACATTGTGCTGACTTGAACAAGTCTGGTCCCAAGAGAAACATCTCTGCCCTCTGGCAAACTCCGTCGTGTCGCCCGCCCCCTTTCTCTATGTGGAGATGTGTCAGCTAGCGGCAGAAATGCACAGAAACATATACGCCCTCGGAATGCAGGATAGTTATTTCCTAAACTTTGACGGAATACCACACAGCTTGCCTGCCGATGCCACAATTAAACTCTTTTTCTTTTTGGTAAATTTGGCGGTCTCAAAATTGCTACATTGTTTCTAGGGGAGGAGGCGAAGGTAGCTGTGGGGCCGTTTTAGAATTGGGCAGAATCCTGTCAAACATGAGCAGGATGTCTTGGAGCAAGATATGTAGACTTTCCAAGACTCATGTTCCCCATTCCTAAAATCGTTGGATGTGTTACTTTCCTTTCAGAGATCAAGGTGGAACTCAATAAATCCTGGTTCTCTCCTTCCTTCTCTTGGCCTCCCTCTGAGCCTAGGCTCTTGCTTGTTTAATCCCTAGAGCACCTGTTACCTGATCTAGAGTCATCCCAGAGCAAGCTAAAGGATTTGTTTTGAGGCGACAGTTATCTACACAAGCATTATGGAAAGGAGGGAGACCCAAGGCGCCCAGCCAAACCCACCCTCTGTGGCTGCAGCCTTGACGTCTGGGGAACCCTGTTCCTTAGACACACCAGTGAAGAGAGACTATAGATTCGGTCCCCACAAATGTCCAGACTGCACCGTGACGGTGCAGTTCCTCGCCTGCACCGCTCCCGGGTTATTGAGTAAAGCGCTTATAATATCATTAGCCTCGGTGAGTTACCGACTGCGGCCCTGCCCGTGGCAGAACTCTCCCTACTTAACTCCTCAAAGGGCTCGTTAATGGGCTAATTGATTAGGGGTCGGTGGCGCAGCCGGGACAGGGGCAGGGGAGGGAGCGGAGGGCCAGGAGGCTGTGCGCCCAGGCCCAGGAGGCTGGCGAGGGGCAGGTGCCGGCCTCCGTCACCGCATTAACCTCTTCAGGGCTCTGCGGCAGGGTCGAGACACATTACAAATGGTCAGCTTTAATCATGGTGTCAGCTCATTAACCCGGAAGGACCCGGCGCTGAAATACAATTTGTGCGTCCTGCTCTGCGCGGCCATGGCAC